CTACTACTACTACTACTATTACCATCTTGTGCCCTGCAATAATCATTTACTCAAACTTGCTTTTATGAGATAAAGGGGGGTGGGGGGGAAGGAATCGGCTAAACATATCGGCCAAAAAATCAGCATCATATATCGGCCATCAGCTGCCCTGATTTCTAAATATCGGCACCGGCCAGAGAAAAACCCTTATCGGTCGACCGCTATTGCTGACACTTAAATGAATTGTTTTGCCACTTTTGCACTTTATTTTTTCAAAAAATGTATGTTTATTTGTTATGCATGTTATGTATGTTTATTAAAAACAAGTTTTGTAATAACCAATTGTTCCGGTCCGGACCTTTGACACTGATGAAAATTCAGATTTGGACCTATGAATATAGACTTTGAGAACCCCTGGTATATATAATGATAAAGTTATTTTTGCTTTAAATAAGGTCTTTATGATTAGAGGTCGACCGATAGTGGATTTTACCAATACCGATAGCTAGGTTGGACCACACTGGCCGATACCGATTAATCAACCGATAGTTTTTAAAATGGTAAACGAAAACTAAAACAGAGCTTTACTATTTTTAAAAAAGCAGTACATCGGCATTGATTTTTGCCAATAACCGATAGTTCCGCCAATCAGCTATCGGTGCCGATTAATCGCAAAAAACCGATGAATCGGTCGACCTCTATTTATGATATCAAAACTTTTGATACCACAGAAATTTCATAATTCTTGTCACCAGTGTCAATATCACAAAAAACCAATACTAGCCTAAATGAAAAAATAAAAATAAAAACCGCACTGAAGATAAGTAAACAGTCAGCGATTAAATAAGAATAAGAAACTAATTACAAGCAATAGGACAAAAACTAGAGTAGACAAATAATTAAGAAATGCTACATACATTGTATAAAGCAATCAAATGTATAAAAATGCTGCATATTCTTCACTGTGTAAATTAAATATATATTTTGTCTTATTAAAGTTACAAAAGTGATTTAGTCAAGAGTAGTGAAAGATTTGCTCTCTTTTGTTGTTTGTTTAACATGAATGATGCTGTCACTTTAAGAGCTGCCCAGATCCAATATGCTGTTACACATGTTTTTCTTCCTCAGCTGTTTGCTTTCACTTAATACCTAAATTATTATATTTACCGGTATTCTTGCAAAGATGGAAATTTTGACGTACAGTGTGTGTATTTAACTGTTCAAGGCCTATTTAATGCACATTTAATGTAAATATACAATTCCTACTAAAAATACTATTTCAGTCATTCTACTTAAAGGGGTCATATGATGCGATTTCATTTTTTCCTTTCTCTTTGGAGTGTTACAAGCTCTTGGTGCAT